GCGCCGCTGGGGTTCCTGCTGCTGCGAAGGCCCGCGCTGCTGCTGCAGGGCTTCATGTGCTCCCCGCTGCTGCTGCTGCTGCTGCTGCTGCTGCTGTGCGCAGTCGCTGAGTGGATAGACACACAAACTCCCGTGTCAGTGCTGATGGCACGCGAAGCTGCTGCTGTCAGCAAACCGCCGCGCTCGAGGGCCCGAGACCAGAGGTCACAGGCGGCGCTGCAGCTGGAGGCTGCTGCTGCAGCAGCAAACGAGAAGCAGGCAGCGCGGGCGGAGGACGCAGCAGCATCGTTGGCAGCAGCAGCTGGCCTTCTCACTGCTGCAGCAGCAACCGCAGCAGCGCCGGGCTTTGCTGCAGCCCGAAATGTGAATGCTGATATGGGGCGGGCTGAAGAAACGCCGCATTCGTGTGAAAGCCCAGACACGCTGCAGCAGCAGCAGCAGCAGCAGCATCATGGCGGGAGCAAGCAGCAACGGCTGTGGCGGCAGCTGACTGCGCTGCCTGAGTTGGACTTCTTGAAGGCCCTCAGCGGCATTGCTGCTGACTGGCAGCAGAAGGCCCAGAGGTGGGCTGCTGCTGCGTTTGCTGCTGCTGCATTTGCTGCTGCTGCTGCTGCTGTTATTGCTGCTGAGTGTGCCAACGCTGCATTTGCTGCTGCTGCATTTGCTGCTTCGCTGCTGCTGCTGGAGTTCGGCCCGCAGTCTGTGGCGTGCTGCCTGCTGCTGTGGTGGAATGGACTTGGCTACCATGTATCGCCGCTTTTCGCATTGAAACTGCCACTGCTGCTGCTGCTGCTGCAACTGTTGCCGCTGCTGCTGCTGCTGCAGCCTACTCTGAGGATGCAGACACGAACACACGCGCATGCAATTGCCTCCTTTTCACTCCAGTTGTTGTAAAGGTTTCTTTGCTGTATGTGGATTTGTCAATTTATTTATACTTAGTTGTTAACCACACATTCGTGAACTTGTTTTGCTGCTGCTGCTGCTGCTGCTGCGCAGGCTGCGGGAAGCTGTGCCTCGGCCGCGCGCAGAGGAGTGGCAGCAGCTGCTGCTGGAAGCTGAGGACCTGCCTGTACACCTGACGTCTGTGCGGCAAGACATAGCGCAAGCTTTGGAGCAGCAGCAGCAAGTGGAGCAGCAGCTAGCTGCTGCTCTGGCTTCTCCAGAGACTGCAGCATCTTTGACGCAGCTGCGAGCGCTGCAGCAGCAAGCCAGCGGCTGCAGCGTGTACATCAGCTGCCTGGAGCAGACGGAGCAGCGGCTGCTGCAGCTGCAGCAGGTGGAAGCAGCAGCAGCGTTTCACCTGCAGGCGGCGGAGACGCCGCGCGCGGAGCTGCAGCACTTCGTGCAGCAGCAGCAGCAGCTGCTGCAGCTGCCCGCAGAAACCCCAGACCTCCCCTGCTTCTCCCGCCTCAAAGATGCATGCAATGCTGTTGCTGCTTGGCTAGAAGAAACAGCGCAGCTGCATGCAAGTGGGGGTTCGCTGCGGCAGTGGCAGCAGCACGTGGCGCGGGGCCAGAGCCTGCGCATAAAGCCCGAGGGGCTGCAGCAGCTGCAGCAGCAGCTGCAGCAAAGTGCAGACTGGTGTGTCGTTTACCAGCACTTGCTGGAGCTGCGCGCAGCAGTGCGCTGCCAGAGCGCCAGTGCTGCTGCTGCTGTTGTTGCAGAGATGCTGCAGGACAGCTCCGGCCCGCTCACGATCCTGCCTCCCGGCGCTGCTGCTGCTGCTGCTGCTGCTGCTGCTGCTGCTTCGCCGGGCCAGGAGCAGCAAACCCCGCGAGTCCGGGGCTATGTCTCGCTGCTGGATGCAGAAAGACTGACACGAAAGCCCTTCGGACTTGGCCGGGCCCTGTCGCCTTTTGCTGAGCTGCAGCAGCACGTAAAAGCAGCGCAGCGGCTGCGGCAGCAATGTGCTGCTGCGCTGCAGCAGTCCTACAGAGAGCGCGCAGCATGTCTGTTTGGGATCGCCGCGGGAGTCGATCCCCAGCCGGACTTTGCTGCTCCCATTTCTGAGGCCCAGCTGGTTTTCCTTTGCCGCCAGCAGGAGAAAGCTGCTGCTGCAGCAGCAGCAGCAGCCGAAGACGCGGTCCCTGCTACAGCTGGAGATGTGCACCAGCAGCAGCAGCAGCAGCAGCAGGCTGCCGAGGAGGAGGGGAAGCAGCGGCTGCGGCGGGTGCAGCGGGAGCTGGAGCAGCAGATCTTGGCGCTGCAGCTGCTGCCGCCAGATGCAGCAAATGCACTTCTTTGGAAAACCACGCGGCGGCTGAGAAGACTTGCTGCTGCATGCGCAGCAAGTCGAATCCGCATAAAGGAGCGGCGGCTGCTGAAGGTGGAGGTGAGCAGACACCCGAAGTGCATGCGCTTTGCGCGTCTGCTGCGCGGCCATGCCAAGCCCCAAGCTGCTGCTGCGCTGCTGCTGCTGCTGCTGCTGCAGGTCTTGCTGCGCCTTTATAACCACCGGATGCTCTCTCTTCTCCGCTGCCCCAGACACACATTGGCGGAAGCTGAGCAGCTCCTCCAGCAGGTTCGTTGCTGCTCCTCTATGCATGCATGCAGCCTGTGTATGCATGCAGCCTGTGCATGCATGCAGCCTGTGGATGCATGCAGCCTGTGGATGCATGCAGCCTGTGCTTCCATTCAGCGATGTTTTGAAACTTTGGCTTCTGTCGTTTTTTAGTTGAGCTTTTGCTGCTTGCTGCATGCAAGGGCCGGCGCTGTTTTGGGGCTTGCATGCATGCAGATTGAAACGCGGAGGTTGCAGGTGAGGGAGCCAGGGGGTGGCTTAAAAGCTGCTGCTGCTGCTGCAGGGGAGGGCCCTGCTGCGGAGGAAGCAGCAGCAGGCGAGGAGGAGGAGGAGGAGGGCGAGCAGCAGCACCAGCAGCAGCCGCAGCAGCAGCAGCAGCAGCAGGAGCACGCCGCCTCTGCAGCAGCAGCGGCGCAGCAGCAGCTTTTTGAGCTGCAGATGCAGATGCAGCAGCAGCTGCTGCCGCCCCAGCCGCAGCCCCAAGAAGAGCCGCCCCCTGTGCGCATATCTCCAGTGCGGACTCGGAGGCGGCAGCACTTGGGCCACGAGGAAGAAGAGCAGCAGCAGCAGCAGCAACAGCAGCAACAGCAGCAGCAGCAACAGCAGCAGCAGCAACAGCAACAGCAGCAGAGGCCGCAAGTCCCCACCCGCCGCAGCGCCCGCGCCCCAAGACGCCCCAGAATGCACGGCGATGTGCTGCTGCCGCTGACGACGCGGAGGTCAGCGAAAGCAGAAGAGGCGCTGGAGGCGGTGGGTGTTGCTGCTGCTGCTGCTGCTGCTGCGTCTCCGATTGGGGGGCCGCAGCAGCAGGGATATGTGCAGCAGGAGCAGCAGCAGCTCATGCAGCTGCAGGAGCAGCAGGTGGCGGAAGCAGAGCCCGTTGCAGGCGCAGACGCTGCTGCTGCAGAGGCCGCAGGCCCGCTGGCAGCAGACTCAGGGTCCGCAGCGCCGGAGACGCCCGCAGCAGCAGGAGCTGCAGCAGCACCAGCGGCAGCAGCAGCAGCAGCAGGCGACCCGTTTTCAGGAGCCACCGGGATTGAAGAGCTGAGCGAGGACGAGGAGGAGACCTTGCTGCTGCAGGAGCTGCACCCGCTGGACGGGTCTGCGGGTGCGTCGTTCCTGCTGCAGCAGCAGCAGCAGCAGCAGCAGCAGGAGCAGCAGCACGAGGAGGGGGATGAGGCGAAGGAGCCATCGGCGGAGAGCCTGCGGGTGCTGCAGCTGCTGCAGGAGCTGCAGCGCAGCGAGGGCTGCAGCGCAGCAGCAGCAATTGTGGCGCTGCCGCTCGAAGTTGTTGATGGGCCAGCTTATGCGAAGCTAAGAGCCCTCGTCAGCAGCAGCCAAGAGTGGCTGCTGCAGTACCGGCAGCTGCGGCTGCCGGTGGTGCGGGAGGCGCAGCAGCCGCTGCTGGAGGAGCTGCGGCTGCTGCAGCGGCCGCCGCAGGAGCGGCAGTGGGCGGAGGCTGCTGGCTGCTGCTTCTGCGGCTCTCCCGTTGCTGCTGCGCTTGCTGCTGCTGCTACAGCACCCGCCACAGACGAAGACGAGCAGCAGGAGGAGCTCCACCTCCAGCAGCAGCGCCACGCGCTGCTGCTGCTGCTCCAGCGCTTCTCGCCAGCAGCAGCAAAGCAGGGCGCTGCTGCTGCGGGCCACCCAGACACGGTGACCGCAGCAGCAGCACAAACTGCTGCTGCTGCTGCTGCCGACGAGCAGCAAGCAGCAGCGGCAGCTGCTGCCGCGGCTGCTGCTGAAGAGGAGCAGCACGCGGCGGCGGCTGCTGCTGCTGCGGCTGCTGCTGCTGCTGCGCGGAAAGAGTGGCTGGCCGAACGCATGGCAGCACTGCAGCAAAGACACCCCCCTTTGGGCCCTTCTTTCATTCTTAAATGTGTCTTGCTGGTGCTGCCGCTAATGACAGAAGAGCTGCAGCGGCTGCTGCTGTACGCCGTGACAAAGGGGCTGTCTTTTGAGGCCCTCATGGGCCTCCAGGTGCACCTCAAGCTGCTGCTCGACGTTGCTGCTGCTGCGGAGGCCAGCCGCCTGCAGCAGCAGCAGGAGCAGCAGCAGGGGTTGGCTCTGCAGGACGCGCTGCCGCAGCAGCAGAAGCAACAAGGCATGAACTCGGTGGAGAACCAGCCACGGGAAAAGGAAGAAGCAGCAGCAGCGGGCACAGCAGCAGAGCCAGCTGGTGCAGCGCCAGCAGCAGCAACAGCAGCAACAGCAGCAGCAGCAACAGCAGCGGGGGGAGAATTGGAATACCGTCGCGTGTGGCCTAACGGCGAGCCTCCTGGCTACGCCTTTCACCTCCTGACGGCCTACGCGCTGCACTACAAGTTCGTTGCTGCTGCAGCTGCTGCTTTTGCTGCTGCTGCTGTTCGGCGTGCCGCTGCTGCTGCAGTTCGGTTGCTGCCTCGGTGCTGCCTCCCCAGCCGGGCGCGCTGCTGCCGCGGCTGCTTGCTGCTAGAGACCAGCTGCGTTCGCGCCACCCGGCTGCTGCCGCTGCACCAACTGCTGCTGCTGCTGCTGCTGCTGCTGCATGTGTACTCAGGCAGCTAACTGGCGGCAAGATAAGCTGGCCAGTCTCAGATGTCCGCTCCCTCCACCCTTCGCTGCTGCGCCTAATTGAGTCAAAGGCGAAGCGCAGAGGAGACCACGCGGTGGGGCTTGCTGCTGCTGCTGCTTGCTGCTGCTGCTGCTGCTGCTGCTGCTTGCTGGAGCTTCGTGGACACGTTAGCAACACCAGCAGCAGCAGCACGGCCGCAGCTAGGGTCGAAGCATCTGCTTCGCACAGGGCAGTCACTGAATGCTGCCTGTATTGTGTCCTATACATTTGCTGCTGCTGCTGGTGCTGCTGCTGCTGCCACGCACAAGTCCTTATGCGCCGTCAAATGCCTTTTATTTGCCTGTCTTTTTTGGCTCCAACTTCTTTTTTGTGTTTAATCTCTTTGTTCCGCGTCTGCTGTTGTGCCTTTTGCTGCTCTTGGGGCTCTTCTCAACTTCGTTTATCTCCTCCCCTTGTCTCCTTATTTGCTGCTGTTGCTGCTGCTGCTGCTTGCAGTCGACGCACGGCCTCTGGGTCACTAAGGGAGGCACAGTACCGCCATCCAAGTCCCGGGGAGCAGGCAGCATGAAGAAGCAGCCCGCAGCCCCTGGCGAGGCTGCAGCAGTTCCCCAACAGCAGCAGCAGCAGCAGCAGCAGCACTACACGCCTGACGGCGTGGCTACTGATGCTGCGAACGCGGCGGCGCAGCAGCAGCAGCAGCAGCACCACGGGGGGCTTCTGCAGAAGCGAGCTGCTGCGCGGCAAGTGTCTCCAGGGATTTCATCTGCTGGCCACGGAAAGAGAGTCAAGCTGGCAGATGCTGCTGCTGCAGACCTCGCTGGGGAGCAGCAGCAACAGCAGCAGCAGCAGCTGCTGCTGCAGCAGCAAATGCAGGACGAAGTGTCGGTGGCGGAGTGCAGCGTGTCGTCGTTCATGCGTGACGAGTCGCAGCTTTCGGCGCAGCAGCAGCAGCAGCAGCAGCAGAACGCGGCGGCAGCAGCGGCGGCGGCGGGAGCCGCAGCAGCAGCAGCAGCAGCAGCAGCAGGAAGCAGCTTCGCGTCGCTGGGCCGCAGGGCGAAGCAAAGCCACAACTACCCTTGTCGAAATATAACTCCCAGAATCGGAGATGGGAGAAGAGTCCGTTGCTTCTCTTCAAAAGAAATGCTGCGGGCTTCTGGAATCCCGCTGCCAACCTTTCGGGAGGGTTTGCTGCTGCTGCTGCGGGTTTGCTGCTCCGGCGGCTTCCTCACGGGCGAAACCATTTTGCTGCAGGCGCTGCTGGTTGCGCAGCTGCTGCTCAGCTGGTGGCTGCGGCAGCAATATCCTTTCCTGCAACAGGAGGAGGAGCTGATGCGGCAGCAGCGCAGGGCTGCGGAGGAGGAAGCAGCAGCAGCAGCTGCTGCTGCTGCTGCGGGCGACCCCCAGAAGCAGCAGCAGCTGCTGCAGCAGGCGCGCCAGCTGTTCGTGCCCTCCGCACAAGGCACTCTTGCCTTCCCGCTGCGCCGCCGCATGCAAATCTGCTGCAGCAGCAAAGCTGCTACTTACCAAAATCCCTACAGATGCATTGCTGCAACAGGTTTGTGTTCCAAAGAGGGTGTCATGAGGGTGCTGGAGAAGCAAAAGGAGCTGCAGCAGCAGCAAGAGCAGCAGGAGCAGCAGCAGCGCGATATAAAGGCCCGGCTCCTGAAGTGGCTGCAAGCGCCTACGGACACTGGCGCCCACGAGGATGCGCAGCCGCAGCAACCAGCAGCAGCAGCAGCTGCTGCTGCGGCTGCTGCTGCTACGACCGAGGGGTTCTTCGAAACCGAAGCAGAAGTTGAAGAGGCCCTGCAGGAACTCTTTGACCCCCAGCTGGCCCGGCAGCTGCTGGTGCGGAAAGAGCTGCAGCAGCCGCGCCGCAGCAGCACAGAAGAGCAGGAGCAGAAGCCCCAGCAGCAGCAGCAGCAGCCACAGCAGCAGCAACACGCCCAGAAGCAGCAGCAGCGGCTACAGGACCCGCCCCAGCAGCCGCAGCAGGACGTGCCGCAGCCCGCGCTACAGCAACAACAGCCACAGGAGCCTCAGCTGCAGCAGCAACTCGAACAGCCGCAGCAGCAGCAGCGGCTGCAGCCGCCCCAGCAGCTGCAGCAGCCGCAGCAGCAGGAGCTCGCCACAGAGCATATGTCTCTCTCGGGCGACGCCACGCCTCCAGCAGCAGCAGCAGACGGCGCAGCGGCTGCTGCGCTGGAGGTGGAAGGGACCAACGAGAACACAGCCCAGCAGCAGCAGCAGCAGCAGCAGCAGCAACAGCAGCAGCGAATGCGGAAGCCCCCCATTGGGCTGTGCGGCGCAGAGACTGCCTTTTGGCAAGGGACCCCGTGGGATGTGGGCCTTGAGGACTGGGAAGTGCCTGGCTCGGCCTTTGGCTTTGCAGAGGAGCGGCAGCAGCAGCAGCAGCAGCAGCAGGATGGCTGCAACCTCGAGTGCATGGATGTGGATGCTGCAGCGAGCAGCCAAATCTCGCCTGAAGAAGAAGAAGATGAAGTGCAGCGGCTGCTGCAGCTGCTGCAGACTATGGCTGGTCCCGTGCTGCGGGACGACGCAGCAGGCAGCAGCATGCGTTGTGTGCAGCACATCTCTCGCCTGTCTATGGAGAGCAGCAGCAGCAGCAGCAGCAGCAGCAGCGGGGAGGCCTCAGGCCCAACGGTGTCTGCAGTGACAGTATGGCTGTACCGGCGGTCGCTGCTGGACTTTGACTTTTACGAGAACGAGGACGTAATGCAACAGCAGCAGCAGCAGCAGCAGCAGCAGGAGCTGCTGCTGCCGGAGCAGCGCAGCAGAAGACTGCCTCCCGACGAAGTGCTGCTGCTGGAGAAGTCCCTCAGGGCCCCGCTGCCGCAGGCTTCGCTGCTGTCGCTGCTGCGGCTGCTGGAAGTCCTCGATGGCCTCCCGCTGCAGCTGCCGCTCAAAGGCCGTGTTGCTGCGCTGCTGCTGCACGCCGTGGACTGGGCAGTGCGGGCGAGAGAGGCCATATACTTCCTCCCGCGGGTGCGAAGTGCTGCTGCTGCTGCTGCTGCTGTTGGCTGTGCTGCTGCTGCTGCTTAGGTGGTGGTGGTGGTTGGGGTCCTGGTGCTGCTGCAGGTGGCGGTGCTGGTTGTGGTGCTGCTGTTGCTGCTGCTAGGCTTCTTGCTGCGACTCAGTTTGCTGGTGCTTCATAGCGTTGCTGCTATTTGTGCTGCTGCTTCTGTGCTGCTGCTGCTGCTGCAGGATGGCTATCACCGCCCGTGGACCCGCCTGGAAGCAGCAACAGATGCACCTGTTTTGGTATCTAGGCAGCTGCTGCGCTCTCACTTGCTCCAGGTAGATGACGTGACAGCACCACAGCAGCAGCAGCAGCAGCAGCACCTGCCGGCTGCTGCTGCTTCTGCTCAAGAGGCCCAGAAGATTCTTCCCACGAATGCGGACCAGCAGCCACAGCAGCAACAGCCC